GATTTTCTCGAAGATCACAGAATGGTCAGGGGCTTAATGGGAAGGAATGTTAAGGAACAGAAAGCAGCGCTGGTGAGAAAAGGCCAGTGAGGTGGGCTGAGGAGTCCCCATCACGACAGTGCACCAGTGGGTCGTCCGAGGGTAGCAAGGCAGGCCGACCAGAATTGTGTCAGGAACCTCGCCCATGCGCCCATGGCCTTGATCTTGTCAAGGCATCTCTTCGTTCCCGAAACTCAGCGCATTTAAAGGGAACATGATTTGGCCGCCAAAATCACCAGCTGTGTGGTGCATACCCATGAGCACAGGATTCTCCAGGGAAGGGCTGAAAAGGGCATTTTTAATATAAGTTTGATTTTGTGGTCGGACTTTTTGACTTACCCTTTAAGCACGTGCAAAAATGCTGCTGTTTGGTGTGTGTGTGTTTATGATACACAGGCTGCACACCTTTTCTCACGTAAACATCTTGGCAATCTTTCCACATTGGCGTATCACGTGCTGCGTCAGGCATTCTGAGGGTCAGTCCATCACAGTTAACCAATCCCTGCTGATTAAATGATGGGCGTTTCAGTTGCTTCCAGCCGTGAGCTACTCAGTCTGCAGGTGTGAGTAAAGTGAATCAACAGACTGGGAACTGCTCCAAGCACATACCTCTGTGCTTTGGAGAGAGGTGAAATTGTCCAACCTGGTGCTAATAGCTCCAGCTCCAACACTCTTAGGTGAGCGTGCCCTCTGCCCTCTCACCTGCCCGTACCAACTTGCAGCTCCCTTCCCAGGGGCCACCTGCAGGAACACCTCTGATACAAGCAGTGGCACCAGGTCTCCAACTCGTTTGCCCAGATGGTCAGCCAGCTGCGCACGCCGAGGAACCTGTGCAAGACTGTGAGGAAACAAACCGAGCTAACCTCTGCTTCCCTCCCGCCAGGAAGGAAGAGCGCAGAGCAGGGGCTGGAGCGGTCGCGGCTCCCGGTGTTCTCCCTGCAGGAGAAGAGCTACGTGAAAGGCACGGCGGATTTCCTGGGCTTAGGCCATTTTGCCACACGGTACATCACAGAAAGGCACTATCCCTCCCGCCAGGGGCCCAGTTACCGCAACGACCAGGATTTGGTGGCGCTGGTTGACCCAAACGGGCCAGACCTGGGGTCTCAGGGGCTCAATTCTGTGCCACGGGGGCTGAGGAGGCTCCTCAACTTTGCGCAGGTAAGTAGTTTGTGAAGCTACATTAAAAAAGAACAACCCACCCAAGTCAAACGCACCGCCTTCAAGTCGCACCGCCTTCAAGTCCACACCCACCCACGGCAAACTATTGGGCAGGACAGAGTAGATCTGCCTCTGTGGACTTGCAGGCTGGAAGTCTTCACAGGAGGAGAAAGCCCAGCTACGGAGACCTTGCGGGTCACAGCTCAAAGCATAGCCACTATGCCATCGGGGCTCCTAGTTAAGCTACATAGAGGACATTTCTTTTAAACCTTCCTAATTCAGGTTTTCAGAGCGTAAACGCAGGTGCCTACATCTGAAAGCGAAGAGCGGCGGAAACCGAGTAAACTCAGTTACTCAGACTTGACAGGCGACCAGCAGACAGCCCCGATTCACACTGAGGGGAGCCACTCCCACGGGGGGCATAACATTAGCACACTTAGCACGTCGTCTTTTCCAGCTGTTTACCTGAAATGGAAGATGAGGGAAACAATATGACTTTAAGTACATTTCCTCTCCCATAAGGTTGACTTACTGGAATGTCACTCCCTCGGGCAAAGGAGCCTTCTGCCCGCTCCGCTCTACATGAGCATGTGTACTTGCTGGATGCCAGTGGCACTTGATAATCAGGTGGCAGGCTGGGCTGCACGCTCCCGTGTGCCTCTGACTCAGAAACCCACCTGCAAGTCAGAATCTTCAAAGACGGTCTTTCCTGCGGCTCACTTCCAGACCCAGTACGTGGACCCTCCCCTGTACGTGACGGGAAACGGAGCTGCTCAGAAACTACCCTGCAGTCAGTTATGCGATCAGTGGAGAATGCAGTACCTTCGAGGGCACACCAACGAAATGCTAAAAGGTGAGGTACCGGCCAAGACTGATCCCAACTCGAACTGCCCCACACCGTTCCCACGGCGGCACCAGGTGTCCACAGAAGTGGACTGTCACATTTCATTTCCTCGAGTGGCTGGTGAGTTTGACCTCCAACCTTTAGGTGAGCAGCCAAGCACTTTTCCAGTACAGCTGCAGGATGAACATGTGTGTCTAAATTTTAATAGACGTGTGTCTTTGCAGCCATAAAAGATGGTGCTAATATCAAAGGGTACACTTCCTGGTCTCTGCTGGATAAGTTTGAATGGGAGAAAGGATACTCGGAAAGGTACGGCCTCTACTACGTCGAATTTAACGACCGACAGAGACCTCGCCACCCGAAGGCTTCTGCGCAGTACTACCAGAGGCTCATCTCTGCCCACGGGTTCCCCAGTCCCAGAGAGGTACCACGACGCTCCGCTCCCTCTTTGAAACGAGCTCGTTTGTCATGTCCCTTCTTGGTGGCCACTCAGACGACCAAGGCTTAGGTCTGATGGGGACAGAGTCCGAGGGTTAGGTCTCTCTTCTCTTTTGGGAACTTCATTTTTATTTATTTATATATGTGTCAGTTCCCCCTTTTGTCTGTGTAAAATAATACAACACATATGCTGTTACTCACATAGCACTTCCCATCAGATCAGTGACAACATTCCATTGACCCCCCAGAAGACGTTGTTTTTTTTAATCCTTGTCTACCCTCCTCCAGTCCTCCCTTTCTGTCCCTTCCCTGGTAGGACTAATTATGGGTAGTGGTTACATGTGGGCTTTGGTCTGCAAGGTCGGCAGTTCAAAACCACCAGCAGCTCCATGGGAGAAAGGCCAGGTTTTCTACTCTGGTAAAGAGTTAGTCTTGGGAACTCACCAGGGTCGCTACGTCCCACAGGGCTGCTACGAATGGCCATCCACTCGGCGGCACGACAGCTTGTCTGGGGAGCTGTCGGGGTGCACAAGTGTGGTCCCTGCTTGCCCTCTTTCCCAGGACAGGAATTCAGCTTTCAGGTCTGAGTGCTGACACCTGGAGCACGTCAGGCCCGCTAGGGTCATGAGAGGTGACGTTGGAGGGGACAGAGATCTGAGTGAGACTGAGTTCACGCCACTTTCACCTTGAGTCTTCATACGAACAACTAGTAACACCTACTCTTCAGCGAACAGAAGAAGCTTAAGTGAATCGAACGTATGAGGACCATATGATGTCCACCTCTTCCTGCGGAATGGTCAAGCCATAAAAATACACTCGCTCCAAAAGGAGAAAAAAGACCCACAGTTAATCATCCTTTAAAACTCACCAAACGATTTCCATTCTCGACCACGCCCCCAGCTCCCTCTTCCTGCGTCGGGGCGTCAATGGCAGGGAATGGAAAGTGAAGTGTGGAGCGAGGTGTTTTATTACAACAGCCGTCTTACTCATTCACCAGGATCTTTCTAGGCTGTCCCCAGGTGTAGTGCCAGAGCGAGACCAATTTACCAACAAGCAGCCTTAACTCAAGTTGATAAGCCTTTGTTAGCCGGCGGTCAAAGGGTGGCTAGAGTCTAATTCTCCCTTGACCCCGAGTGCTTAACGAGGGGAAATTTTACACTGTGGAGTAAATGAGGCACAAGGGCAGGTGGCATCGTGCTATATGGAAAAATGAGAACTTAAAAAAAATAAAATGGGGTTTACCAGCAGCACCAGCGATTTCAAAAACAAACAAAGCAATGGGTCAACAGTTACAGAAGTTACAAAGTGGCCACACAAGGGTCAATACAAAATGGCTACCCTGAGGCTCATTAATAGCCTGTGGTTACCTTGTTAGAGTGGCTACATCTAAGTTAACTCCTGCATTATGGTTACCTGGGGTTAGCCATGGGGGGTTAGCACACAGGGAGGCTCTCAGAGGGAGCAGCACTCACCAGTTTCCAATAGGAGAGAAGCTCTGGGTTTGCAAGCACCTCAAGAACACGGGCTCTTTCTCAACGCCCTCTCATTGCTGGCTGCAAGTGTTCAATTAAATATTAGCTGACTGTTAAGAATGTTTCCTTATCTCACATTGTCCCCCAACTGATCCCAAAAAGCAAACCGTGGCTATGACATCCCTAACCGAGTGGGTTCTCATCAGGTGGAAAGCTGGTACCTGCAAGCCTGGGAAACCTGCTCCATCAACAGCCACAGGCTTGCTGCAGGTAAGTACACTCTATAACGTAAGGTGACCAGACGTCTCGATTTTTAACAATTTTTCCCACATCCCAAGGCGTTTTAAAAAAGTCCCGATTTTTGGAAAGAATGCACGACAAGCTAGGGTATACGGTTTTCGGCTGCCGTGTAGCCATTGAGAGAGTTTTACCCTTGAACTTGAGATCAGGAGGTTGCCTGCTCAATATTGGAAGAAAAAGAAATAACAGGTTTCCAGAATAGAAACGGAGAAGCAGAATTACCTCTATGCACAGATACGATCCTATGCGTAGAACATTCCAGAATCCACAAGAAAATGTCTACAGCTAACAGAAGACGTTAGCAAAGTTGCAGGGTTCAAGGTCAACAAGCAAAGGTCAGATGAGTTTCTATCCACCAGCAAATGAGAATTCTGAATGGGAAATTAGGGAAACAATTCCACTTGCAATAGCATCTAAGAGAATAAATGCCTAGCAATAAGTCTAAGCAGGAATGCAAAGGACTTGTACAAAGAAAACTATAAAATTTGCTAAAAGAAATTCAAGATGTAAATAAACAGAAAGATGGCTCTACGCTTATGGATTTGAAGACTTACTATTGTTAAGATGTCCTTACTACCCCACCCAAAGCGATCTATCGATGCAATGACATTCCAATCCAAATTCCAACAGCCTTCTTTACAGAAATAGAAAAACTAATCCTCAACTTTGTATACAAAGAGAGCGGCCCAAATAGTTACAACAAATACAAAGGGAAGAACCGAGTGGGAGGACTCAGTTACTGCTTTCTAACAAACTCTGCAGCTCTACGGAGACTTGGCAGTGCTGTGGGCTAAGCATTCCCGGGGTCAATCCGAGCAGCTACGCCACATGCTTCTTCCCAGATCTTCGGAAACATTTTACAATTCCATCACACAATTTGTTTGCAACATTTAATTCACCAGCTCCTCTTTCACAGCAAAGAGGAATAATGAGAAAATGTGATGCGCCCCTTTCCAAGTTTTTCCATTATGGTTAAAGCTTTCAGGATGAAGTTTTACTGGTGAAACCGTTTTCTTTACCATTCCAGGGCCGCTGCTAAGTCACATGCAGATGGTGACGGAGATTGTGGTGCCCACAGTCTGCACCCTGGGCATCCTCATCGCTGCTGTCCTGCTAATGCTCCTCCTCTGGGGGCAGACTTGAGACCCGTGACCGATTTGTAGCTCCAGGCGCATCCACTTTCCCGCTCTGAAGGTCACATACGTTTCTGTTTTCAGATTCTGCAATAAATAACAGCCCCACTCTTTTTAGTGGCTTGTGCTAAGCCTTAAAAGCTAGAAAACAAAAATAAGCATAAATAAAAATGAAAATCACTTGTAATCTCATCCCTCTCAAAACTGATGTTGCTATTATGCATCTATTTTCATTAAAAAAAAAAAAAGGATCATAGTGTGCAACTGTTGTGTGATTGTTTTAATGTCCGCCACCTCAGTACTGTCCCCCACATACCCCACCTCACAGCAACCACACAGGGCAAAGGACTGCCGTGGCGCGCACAGCTGAGGGCCTCCGAACGCGGGCAGGTCCACACGGCACCCTGTCGGTTCCCAGCGGAGTGCTTGAATCACTGCGCCACCGCGTCCCACCCTAGACCTGACACAGAGTCAATCGACTATCGATAACAACTCTTCCAGGTGGTAAACCCTATCATGCAACCAAGGAAAAGCATTAGGAGGACATGCAGTAAGTGAGTGTATATATATATATATTTTTTTTTTTTTCTTTTTTAACATTTTATTAGGGGCTCATACAACTGTTATCCCAATCCATACACACATCAATTGTGTAAAGCGCATTTGTACATCGTTTCTCAAAACATTTTCTCTCCATTTAACCCCCCGACATTAGGTCCTCATTTTTCCCCTCCCTCCCGAGTGTATATATTTTTATATATATGGTTCTAAGATAAAATATTCCTTCTGCTAAATTCAACTCAGTGAAATACCTCAAAGAACACTCTTATGATAATTTAAGAGTGTTCAGTTAGTTTATTTATCTTCTCTGTGGTTAGATCATATATATGCCTATTTTATTTTTAACTGTAAAATACTAAAATGACCTCATCCTCATTTGTTTGGGGACAAAACACAGCTAAAGAGTGATAATATCAAGCAGTTTACTTGTTATTTGATTCCCTTCAATGTTATTTCTGTTACATAAAACACAGCTAAAGAGTGATAATATCAAGCAGTTTACTTGTTATTTGATTCCCTTCAATGTTATTTCTGTTACATAAAACAGTAAGATAATAGTAAATGTTATTCCATTAATCATTTTAGTTAACACTATCTCTAATCAAACCATTTTTTGAAGGGTGTTTACAACTGGGGGCTATGATTGAGTGGGGGTAAAATTGTTTTTAACAAAGCTTCTCTTTTAATAAGTCAGTAAACCTGTCTAGGGTTCCCCCCTCCCATATTGGTGTTTTAAAAATCAAACTCTAAAATAAAATCAAACTCTTTCTACTGTATTTATCGATTATCACCAAAAAACCCCAATTTCCCCTCCATTTCCCTGGCTGTAGGGTGAAACGGACCGGTTAAGTTACCACAGAAGACAGGAAGACAAGTAAAGACGAGCTCTGCTCAATTCCATCGGGAAGACTCTTTGGTGATTAATGATAAACAATCTATATTCTTTTAGTTACTTATTTATTTTTTACAATTCATATTCTTAATGTATTAAATTGACTTTTTAAATAGGAAGAACTAAAACATAAGGTGCTTATTAATGCACTACCAAATATGTGGAGATGCCCAAAGTGAACACGAAACACCTTACCAAGCGCCCGCATCAGTACGCTCTACTTGAAATGTACTTGGCTGCAGGTAACCATGGTAGCAAAGTGTTTCTTTTCTTCCAGGCTACCATTGAGAGTCAATTCGGGAAAATCTGTAACCAGAAAGGCAGTCCAATCAGAATGGCTTAGACCCTTCAGCCTTTTCTCGCATACAGGAAGCGGAATTTCACAATCGCCCCAATAATCAGCCCGTGGTCGGTCTGCAGGGCAAGTGTCTTACACTTTAAAACTTTAGGCAAAACTCGAGAATAATTCTTCTAAACATCAAACCTGGTACAGGTAAAACCGGACTCAACAAACTGAACGGTAAAGAACACGTTTCTAGTGAGATATGTATTTTAAGTCTGTGTGTGTGGCACAGCAACTGGAATTAAACTGGTCCTTTTTCCTATTGTACCATCTGTCTTATAAATCATTCTACTCAGTATTCATCATCTTAGGACTAGACACGGACAGCCCGGTCTCCCGTCTCTCAAAGACTGAGCTATTGAAAAAATAAACGACCCATTAACATTTAGATGGGCTTGTGTCCGCTTCCTTGGGGGTCAGCATTGCGGTTTCCATAGTCTCACCATTAGCAACAGCCATTTGCTGGGCACCCACTGGATGGGGAGCACCTCGGGGGACTCGGGTTTTCTCCCCCATTAACTCCAAATCATTATTCTCGCTCTCCATGGCAGCTGAAACCAGACTTTCCCCTCTCAAGTCTCCTGGCCTCTGATGCTGTTTTACTGAAGAGCATCATGCTAACAAATCTTGAAAAGGCAGAATGTGACTTAAGTGCTCAGTCCAGTGAAATAGAAAGCGTAACTTCTCAAAGGCACGTGATCATGGACAAAAATCAACCATGGTTGGGCTTTATGTAGTTGCAATGGGGGCTCCATCAGAAAAGCCATGACGTTTACAAATCAGGTCCTCCTTCAAGAGGGTACCTTGCTTTGGGTCAAAGGTCACTGTATAATGTCTAGAAAACATATTAAGAGTATTTAATAGATCAGTTATAAAAGCTCAAGCCCAATTGGAGCTTAGGTACATTTCCAAGCACACAGAAAACATGATTTCATAAAAATCCCTGATTTTCATAAACGGAGTCATTGGGTCAATGTTTTATCGAATTGCTGGTTATGTTAAGTTATGCTACCCTAACGTCTACCATGACTCACTCTTTGCTGAAGTAGCCTGCATCAAGAAGACTCTTCACAGGTGTGCTCAGCACTGCCTGCTTAGTCACGATCACTGGAAAGAGGAGTTTCCTCCGGCATGAATTTCTTCAAAGCAGACTGGCTTATCCATTATTTATTTCAGAACTTTAAAGAGAAAATTGGCATTTCCCAAAGCTGTGTCCCACGTATCAGTCTTTAAAACCCCTTTTCATCTTACACGTGCCCCGAGTGTCTGACTGACGCGCAGAGGAGGAAGTCAAAGGTCTGAGCTGCTGGTTTCCACCTCCGTCATTCCTGGGACTCAGCCAGGGGCATTACAGGTTCCCGGTGGGCAGCGGCTCAGTCGCAGGAGATGCTGATGGACTTCGCCCGGGCATTCTGAGTCCCAGATGACTCCAACACAGGTCCCCACACTTATCTGGCCTACCACCCCCTTCCCAGGAAGAACAAACATTTACTCAGTGCGCCCTTGTCATTAAAACCGTTGGCACTCTATCCCATAATCCGAGGTAAAGTGGTAAGTACTGTTCTGTGGTCCTGGATCCTGCCAGTGCCCCACCCCCCTGGCGAGCAAGGGCTGACAGCAGCCCTCCCTTCCCCATCCCACTCCTTAGTGGACTTCTTCCAGACCTTTGTCCATGCCGCGTCTCCTTTCCCTTGTTGTTGGCCAGGGAGCAATCTTGCAATAACCACACTTGGAGGTCGTCTTTCATGGGTCTGGGTACCTGTAAATTACTGTTCACGGGCAATGCCGGCTCGAGAACTTCTTACAGTGGGGCAACTGTGGCCCCATTGCAGCTCCGTCACTCACTGCAACCAGCCGTGGGCGATGGCGGCCTGTCCCCTGGGCTGCCAGCAATAGGACACCATGGTTCTCATCTGCCCTAAGCTGACAGGCGAAGGGTGGGACCCATAGAATAGAAATGTGCATTTCACTTGCTAGGTGGGGGTTCAGCTTCGCTTTGTTCTGAAACCATCTGAATTTCCTTTGCGGTAAAATGGTTCATATGACTGGCCCGTTGCTATTTTTCTTACTGATTTGAAAGTCTTTTATATACTAAGGAATCAAATCCCTTTTCTGAACATGAACTGCACATTGCTTCTCTTAGTTTATTATTTTTCTCTCTTGCTTTTTTTTTGGCAGGCAGACATTTTTCTAATTTCATAGTCAATTTTCAATCTTATATAGCTTCCTGGTTTTATATCACATCTAGAAAAGACAGAGTGCTCCCAGAAAAATTCCTTTCGGGTTTTTTTTGGGTTTTTTTAGGATTTTTGTAGTTTGGCCATATGAATAAATCCTCTAGTTGACAAACATTTCTATACCCTATATTTTGGGGAGAAAATAAACATTTTCCAGACACAGTTCTGTGAGTTCTGCTTATAGGCCATAACAGTCTTCTATCTGGGACAGGTCAAATGGATTTGAATATAGTTTTGCAGCCTTGGAAGTAGAGAGCGAACAGAGACATACAGGTAAGTCTTCAGAAGGGTGAGCCCAATGCTGCAGCAATCGGCAGACACGACCATTACGAGGTGGCGCCGGGCTGTGCTGTGCTGTGCTGTTGTATTCAGGGCTCTGTGGTCCTAACATGCTCAATGGATGTAACAACAATTATTAAAGGAGAGAGAGTGTGAAGAACCAGCTAATTATCTTTAATAAAGCCCAAGTCAGCAGAGAGCGGGTGTCTTTAGTCATAGGAATCTCAGCACTTATTCCAGCCACAGCGAAGACTCCCGGACAGAGGCACCAGCGCCACTGTCGTGAAGAGTGCGCAGACGGTAAAGCGTGGGCTGGCAGTTTGTCTTCTAACCTTATGCTTACTCTCTGCCCCAGAGTTTACACTTCCTCAACCCAGGACGAGAAAAGGCACTCTTTCATGATCAGCACACACTGAATTTTTCTGGGCATGGAACCTGCACAAACCGCGTGCAGAACATATATGCTCTACACCGACAGCGTGCAGGAGGAAGGCCCTCCACAAGACGGACGGACACAGCGGCCGGCCGCCACGACGACTAGACCCTGAGAACAACTGTGAGGGTGGGGCCGCACCGGCCGCTGTGGTCGCAGCCGGCTCAACAGCACCTGACAACAGCACACCTAGGGCGCAGGAAAAACAATGCAGAGTGGGTACAACCTACAGGCTTTTCGGCCACAAATAATGCTAAATTTTATAACTGCGATAATAGCCATTTCTGCCAATTTCAATCGTAACAATTGATCCAAATAGTCGACAAGCCACCATTACCATGTCTGTGAAAATTCAGATGGTCTACAGGGGGGCTGTCACTCAGTTGCCACACGGTTTTCACCTTCTTTTGCCCACTGCTTATTTCCACTCTCCATTTCTGTGGCTTCTCACTAAGGAAAGACAACAGAAACACAGTCACTTCCTTCCTCCCTCCCTTAGCCATTTAGTGATAAGCACTGACGTAGAATTCCCAATTTTTCACCAAGAAGCAGAGGTAGGAGAAATATGAATATGAATGGTAACATTTGTAAAGAAATGAAGGATGTGGGGGGTACAATAACAGAGGATTCCTAAATCAGACTGGGGTTCTGGAGTCAGAAAACGTCTTCAGAGGTGGGGAATGATGAGGTGGGAGCTGGGCAGATACGGTGGGGAAAGGCAGCTCAGGATGAAGGAACGACGCGCACATGTGGGGGCTCTCCCCGTCCCTCACAGTTCTCGGGTCTCTTGCTTTCTAATGGTCGGACCAGGGCACACCTGCCTCAGCCAGTTCCCTGCTTCAGCTGGCAAGACTCACTTCCTACAAGACATCCAAGCCATATGGACCTACCTTGATACAACCCTGGGTGTGGAGACCCCTGCCAGCGCTGAGATGTTTACATGCTCACTGATTCGGCTTTCTTCCTGCAGTCGGCGTCATTGTGTGTGTTTTGTGAGATTGAGGAGGACTTTGTAGATCAGTGTCGGACACAAGGGCTAATGTTAGACTATGAGCTTGGACAACACTGGATTGGGATGCTTTCTTAATGTACACTTACCCTTTATATAAAACCCTCTTATCCATATATGAGTTCCTGTGGATTTGTTTCCCTAGTCTACCCAGACTAACACAGTGGGACTTGGATTTTAGGATGAGTACTGAGGCAGTGGCACAGAGAGGAGGAAGATTATGGAGGAGTAGTCCGGGAGAACAATTCACTACAGTGCACACAGGAAAGCATGCAGATGTAAGTACGGCAAAGACCGTGTGAAGAGGCGCAGAAGAGAGCCGATGCAGGAGCTAGCAGGGCGTGAGGGACCACACAGATCCAGAATGAGGTCGAGGATAACAGAGGTCCCTTGAGAGAGGAAACACAGGAGGAGGAGGAGGAGGGTTGGGAAGGGGTGAGGACCTTGGTTTGAGAGGTTGAACTGTCTACAGGATTCACAATTAGAAACGTTGCCTTGAAGCTCAGAAGTCTGGGGAAATGGGAGCTATGGGTTTTGAGACCTCATCAGCCCAGAGGGACTGAACCCTGAGTATAATCGCAGTCACCTGGCGAGGCAGAAGGGAGGGCAGAGGGTAACACTCCTGTGAAAACTCACATAGAGGAAGCAGGCAGAACTTGAGAGAGAACTGCAGTTGGTCTTGGAGGGAGGCTAGAGAGGTGGAATGACAATGAGGATGCCAAGGGCAGACACGTCAGAAAGGCAAACGCGCTAGAGGGAAAGTGAAGCCGAGGAAGGACTGCAGGCCCACTGGGTTTGGTAATGAAATAGTCGCACGTGACCTTTACCACCTACAGCACTTTCATGAGGATTCGGCAAAGGAGGCATTCAATAGGGAGAGGGCAGCACAGAGTGACTTTCCTATGGGAGAAATTTCGAGTTTTCTTTATATGCCGAGGGAGGAGTTGGGGGACTCGAGGCCAAGGCCCTGTGGAGGGCACTCACAGTTCACGCCTCCACAGCCCTGCACTCAGGCCCAGGGCCATACTCGTGTCCTGAGAGTCACTGCCATGACCATCTCCTCCCCTCGAGCTGACCCCTCCTTTCTGGCTTTCTATCCAGCTTGAAGGACTTCAAACTGGAGCGAAGTGGAAGAGGCCCAGGGGTCTACAAGAGCACAGACGGAGGTCGGACACAGGGCTGTGGTCAGAGAGCGCAACACAGTGAGGGAGGTTCAGAGGTGGAGCACGTCCGGGTCAGCAGGTCCCCAGGGACCACTGATCCCAAGGCTGTCCAGAAATTGGCCAGACAAAATGTATAATTTACTTATTAAATTGCTTACCTTTGATATAAGTTTTTCATAGCAATCGGTCTGACTGGCAGCTGGAAAATGTGCTGCTCATTAAGAGGATTCTGTTTGTAGTATTTTATACAGGATCTGAAATAAGCAAATAAATAAATAGACCTCTTTCGGAACACATGTCCTTTGGCAATAAAGTTCCTCTGGCGGTCCTAAACTCGTAAGGGAAACATTTCATTGAGTACCAGGAACAGAATTAACATTATTTTAGGATCACAAGAGTTAAAAAACAAAACAAAACAAAACCTAGGTTATGGTGTGTTTTTTCCTCGCTAACGGCCCCCCCAAAAACAAACCAACAAACAAACCAACAGTCGACATATTTCTCATAAACATGACATCTATTTACCCAAAGCCCACTGCGCTCAGGTCCAGTCTGACTCCCGGCGACAGAGCAGGACTGCTCTTGCGGGAGTCCCAGACTCGTCTCTACAGGAACAGAGTCTGAACCTGGCGGCTAGCAGGCAGTGCTCCCCCACTGTACCGCCAGCTCCTACAAGACACTGAGCCAAATCAAGGCTTTCGTGAGGAGGAAGGTCCACATGAAGGGCAACAACAAACTCCACCACCACAGCGTGGCAAAAGAAAGACAACATACAGCCACGGTCTTTTCCAGAGCTGAGCAGCTCGTGTACAATTTGACCCATCTTTCCTGAAAGAATAACCTTTGAGATCCCGTAAGCAATTACAATTTCAAATTGTTCCCTTTACAGCTGAGGCCCCTTCTAGTTGGGTGGGAAAGTAATGGAACATTTCCTCCCAGAAGGAAAAAGGACACCAGTTCTTCTACTAGCCGGCTCACTGAGGCCCAGTGTGGGCCCGGGGGCACGGAGGACACCAGCAGTCCTTATCTGGAGGTCACTCCCAATGGTTTCCAGCCAACCTGCTCGGGAAACGCTCAGATGAGAGCAGTGCTGCTAACAGATTGGTCACGGTACCGGACTCCACTCAGTTATCGGTCCAGGAAGAAAGATAGGAGAGTTAGGATTGATTTACTAGGAGCTCTGGCAGTGTACTGGGTAGCGAGTTGGGCTGCTAACTACAAGGTCAGCAGTTGAAACTACCAGCTACTCTGAGGTAGAAAGATGAGGCTTCGTACTCCCACACAGAGCAACAGTCTCGGCAACCTCCAGGGACAGTTCTACCTGCCCTACAGGGTCGCTGTGAGGCGAGAGAATATTCACTACGGGCCCGGGACTTTCCGTACACGACACCATTCTGTTCTCATTACAAACGTACGAGGTTCCGCCATCTCCTTTACAGACGAGAAGACAGTGGAAGGACACTCGCTACAGGGAGTGGGCAGGGACAGAGTCCAGTCCCCCCTCCCGTAACATGGACTGGGGACCATTCTGCTAACGTGATGCCGGGGCCCAGGCTCTACTTCGACAAGTCAGACACCACTCTGGCTGCAACTACTGACACACCTCAGAGAGATTGCAGGTTCAGTTCCTGACGACCTCAATAAAGCAGAGATTACATTAAAGCCAGTCACATTTTTTTTACTTCCCAGTACATATAAAAGTAATGTTTATACCGCACTACAGAGAATTACCAAAATGTGACGCAGAGACACAAACAAGTACATGCTGGAAAGACAGCACTGAGAGACACCGAGCTGCCACCGCTCCAGTGTCTCGTGCCGCAGCGAGAGCGCACTCAGACACGCAGAGGAGGACACGTCCCCTGGGAAGCACACGCGACGAGAAGTACCTACTGTGTCAAAGAGAAGAGGAGCTCATGTTGGGGCTTGATGAACAGCATGCAGCTGACCGCTATTTCTTGAATATGGTGCAGTTTCTGAACACGATGCACTTGCTCTTGTACATCTACTGATGAAGAAATGAAGTACTCCTGGAGGGAAAAACGCATAAGAAAAAGAAAACGTTAAAGGACAAATGGAATTTTTGGAAAGGACATAGCCTGTTACCACACCTAAGTTTAGATACAGGTGTGCTATAATTGGCAGGGGTGGGGGCTTGGTAGGGGGGTGGGGTGTGGTGAAGGTGGTAGAGGCCCACAGGAAGCAGCTGGACAGAATCTACCACCGTCCCGTGCGTCCCTTCAACTGCACTGTAAGGGGACCTTGACTGAGAATGGCTGGTGCACACCAGGGCGCGCGCTCGCTGGCTGAGGGGGCTCACGGGGCAGCTTCGCCGGGGAAGCCACAGTGGTTAACTTACGCCACCTGACCAAGGTCTCTGGAGGAAATGAAAGGCAAACCCACAATTCTCAACTTCCATACACTTGCTTGGCTGACGGGAAGCGTCTGCTTCTAAGAATGGCCAGAAAACGCGATGGATGGAGAAAGTGAGCAGTGTCCGCATCAGCCGCCACTCCCACTCATTGCCGGGAAGTGGGGGCCGTGGGAAAAGTACCTCCGCAGCGCAGGTCAAGTATCATACATCTCTCACCCTTCACCGTCTTTTAAAAGGCCCCTAAATCAAGGGCCCCCACGATAACATCTCTTTTGGTTGACTTAACATGGGACAGGAAATAGCCCTTCACAGGCAGCGGCCTCCCTCAATAGGGCTAGGTCACACAGAGTGGCTAGTCCAAATGTGTCTGTGGGTGGATTTGAACCTCCAACCTTTGTATTAGTTTAAAAAAAAGTTGAACTGTTTGTACTACTCAGGAACTCCTTAAATTCTAAGTTTACAAAGTGTTATAATTTTTCTAAGTTTAAAAAACACATGGGAACACCAAAGCTAATGCAATGCTCATTAAAATGCCAACAACTTTCTTTGAAAATGAAAAAACAAACAAAAAACCAACCCCCTTCAAATGTATATGGAAAGGCAAGTCACTCTGATTAGCTAAAACAAGCCCGAGGAAGAGTAAGAGAGGAGACTCACCCTTCCTGATTTCTAAACACACTCTCACGCATAGGAATTCAAAGTCTGGTATTGGCAAATAACAGACACACAGATGAATGGAGCAGAATGGATCGTCCAGAAATAAACCCGCACACCTATGGCCAACTGATTCCCACCAAGGGTGCTATGTTCACCTCATGGGGAAGGACGTCTCTTCAATCGACAGTGTTGGGAAAATTAGATTTCCACACACTGAAGAATGAATCCGGGTCTAAGACTCACATCACATGCAAAAGGCAGTTAAAAATGGATCGAGAACTTTACGTGTCAAAATGGAAACCATAAAAGTCTTGCAGGAAAACGCAGAGGTGAAGTTGTGGGACTGTTTTAATCGATGGGCTTCATGACAGCATAAGCAGAAATAGAAGATAAACAGACACAGGGCCATAAAAGTTAAATGCTGCTGTTCATCAGAGAGCTTTCTCAACAAAGTCAACACAGCCTACAAACCAGGAAAGAAACTGGGGAGCCACATATCCGATACGGGTCTACTACCCAAAATATTTTTTAAAAACCACACACGTGTGTGCAACTTAACAACAAAAAGACAAACCATCTAATCAAAAGCTGGGCAAAGGACTTGAACAGACATTTCAACAGAGAGGATATTCAAATGACCATGGCACATGAAAAGGCGGTCCATGTCATTAGCCATTAAAATAAAATTGGGGGGCCCTCTTACAAAACTTATGACAATCCATCATTCAGTTGTATTAATTAAGCACACTTTTACATATGTTGCCACCAACATTTCCAAACCACTTTCTTTCTACTGGAGCCCTTGCTACCACCTCCTCTTTTTTCCCTCCCTGCCCCACCCTCGTGAATCCTTGATCAATTATATTGTTATTTAGTGTCTTACACTGTCCATTGTCTCCCTTCACCCACATTTCTGTTATTTGTGCCCCTGGGGGGAGGGAGGTTATGTATCCAATCTTGGGATGGGTTCCCCCTTTCTCCCCTATCCCTCCTACCCCACCATCCCCCTACCCTAGTGATATTGCTACTCCTACTCCTGAGGGGTTTAGCTGTCCTGGATTCCATGTGTTGAGAGCTGTACCAATGTGTGTTCTCCGGTCTAGCCGGATGTGCAAGGTAGAACTGGGCCATGGTAGTGGGGGAGCAATCAGGAACTAGAGGAATGATGTCTGTTTCGTCGGTGCTGTACTGTACCCTGCTTGAACATCAGTAGCCATTTGTTGTTGTTTGGGGCCTTGACAAGCCTGGGCACAAACTAAAAGAAATGCTGCCTGCTCCCACCCCATCTTCGCCACCAGTTTGATGCGATCCAAACCACAACGATCTCCTTCTCCAAGAAAACAGCAACTAGTCATGACAGGAACACTGCAGGAGAGGCCAGAGACCCCCAGGCCACTGTAATGAGGGTCACCAAGCTTGTGCAGGGCCTCTGGGGTCTCAGTCAAAACTGGGGCAGGGGTTGAGGCTGTAAGGCTCATAAAAACGAAGCACTTTTGTTCATCAAAGGGCTTTCTGAGTAAAGTCAAAACAAGGCCAAGGAGGGGCTCCCCATCCCCGAGCTGGAGCGGCCCATGAGAGGCAGGAGGACCGAGTCCTGGAAGAGAGCGCTTCCTCCTCCGCCCACCCAGGACTCCGAGGTGATGGACTGTCGCTGGGGATGACCCCAAGGACAAGAGCCGGAAAACTACGCTGAGCAGAGTTAGTCTGTCAGCCACAAAGGACAACTACTGTAGACCCTCATTTGCATGAAGGAGGCAAACCCAGAGAAATCAAGGCTTACTTATTCGTGGTTGCCAGGGGTAGGTGGGAGTGAAGGGAAGATGGGGGTCTTGCTTAGGGGACAGTGAGTTTATGTGAAAGATGGTGGAACAACTTGGAAAAGGATCTATTGGAAATGACTGCCCAACTTGAATGATAATTTATCCATGGAGAGATTGAGTTGATATGTTTTATTGTGTATATTTCCACAATTATTAAAAACAAAACTAAAAACAAAACCAAAACGAAGCAAAGAACTTATCTCTAGGAACGCCAATATAATTTTTTTCCTAGCTAGAGTTCTCTTTCCACTAAAAACACTCTATTAAAAATATATAATAAGTTCTTTCGAAAATAATCCTTTAAATGTAATATGGAAAAAATAAAAACAAAAAAATAGATAAATGTAATATAAATGGATCAAAAGAATATAAGGCCCAAGAGCTCAAGTAGAAAGCAAATGTTTTGAGAATGATGAGGGCAACAAATGTACAAATGTCCTTGAAACAATGCATGTATGTATGGATTGAGTTGTATGAGCCCCCCAATAAAATGATTTTCTAAAAAGTGTATGACACAATGGATGCATGGATTGTTACAAGAGGTGTAAGAGCCCCCGATAAAATTTTATATATATAAATGGTTTCCTTACACATCTAACAAAGAAAGGTCCTGGAATCTGAGTATTTTGATTTCCTACCCATTCTAGATCAATGAGTCCTGACAGCACACTGGTGTGGACAGTCGATCACTGTCCGTCCCCTAGATTGCTAGTCAAAGCTCACGAGAAATGGCGCTGAAGGGACTGACTTTTGGGGGAAGAGCAAGGGGAAGTGGGTCACTTTATACTATCTTTATTTAGATTGGACTCTTTTACTTACCTATTTCCTAATACTGCTACAAAGGCTATCACGCAATAAGCATTTAATAACTGTAGGATACAAAAATAAATATACTCACCAAGTGATTCAAAGATGCAAGTTCCTGACCTATTCAGAAAATAAGAAGTATTAGTTATTCTCTTAGAAAATGTTAAGAAAGCATAAGAAAAGTTCTCATCGTTCATACAGAGATGCTTAAGCTACACAGTTCCTTGGGAAAGGCCAAAATTTTGACAGATTATACTATAAATATATGCCACTATTTTAAAAATTGTTAGTTACAATGCATGATGAATTGGTTCTGATTCATAGTGATTGTCGGGCAGAAGCGGGAGTTAGCAGGGCAGATGGGCGAGGAGACAGAGCTGGTAACAACACTTCAAGGAGCTAGGAGAGGCCAGCACACACACACCCCCTCCCCTTCGGTGGCCTTCAGGCCCAGGTACAGATGACTCTGAACACTGTTGCTTAGCTCAGGGCTTGCAGACAACAACGTTGCAGTGGAAATTTCCCCAGCTACTCCCTCCCCCCAGACCTGGGCTATAAAACTCTCTACCTTTCACCTGGACAGTGTGACTTCTCAGGCCCCCAACTGAGGGCCCATGAACCTCACCCGGGAGCTCAGGATGCTCCCGTCCCTTTCTCTGCTCTCCCTTCCTTCCCCGGAGCTCTGAGATAAACCTCTGAAACGGTTTTCTACCTTTACCTTCTTCCTTCCTTCCTTCTTTCTGTCTCCAGATCAACCTCGCAGTGACACTATGGGAGAGAGTCGAACTGCCCTATGGGGTTTCCATGGCAATATCTGTTTCCAGAGCAGAGAGCTTTATCTTCCCTGCTCGGAGCAGTGGGTGGGTTTGAATCACCGACCTGGCAGTTAGCAGCCCAAAGTATTCCCGACAGTGCTACCAGGGCTGCGAGTCCCTAACAAAAGCAGCCAAGTGTCGGGCTATAAAGCAACGCCTTATAAAAGGGTTTACCCAGACTATCTTAACCTCATAAGAGCACTGGTGGCACTGCCAGGTAAGCGCTGGACGGAAAAGCACAGGTCAATGGTTCACACCCACCAGCTGCTCCTCAGGAGAAAGAGGCTGTCTGCACCCGGGGAGATTTACAAAGCCTTGGGAACCAATCGTACAGCTGGCATTATGAGTTGACCTGACTCGATGGCAGTACATTTGGCTTTAACCTCATAGAATCTCAAAATGTTTGAGCTAAATTAATACCCACATACTCACCTAAACAAACCAACAGTTACTGTTAGTGGAGTGAACGTTACTGGAGTGGAGTGAAATTTCTTAATAGGGCTCTTCTGGCCAAGTCTCTGGGACTACGCCAACAGACGTGCGTAACACTAACAGAGGGGACTGCTCAGTCCTGCTCCTCCGGCTCTAAGGATGAGCCACCTCTGAAGCAGAAGCAAAGGGGGAACGCCCGAGGGCCTGGGAAGAGCGTTCAAGACCTCGGTGTGCCGTGGTGCCGGCTGTCGAGACTAATGCCCCCGAGGCTGTGGCACAGACACTCAGAGGAGCAGCCCGAGATGATGGGCACCTTCCCCTCATCTGGGCTGAGACAGACAGAGTGACAGGCGAGCTGCCTTCCTGGTGCCTGGACGCAAAGGCCAAGGGCCCATGTGGCTGAGAGGCTGAGAACCCGAGACTTGTCTACTGGCTGAGCCAACCAACGACTGTCTCCTCACTGTTTGTTGACCTGACTCGTGGTAACCTACCGACTTCCCGAGTACACTGCCTTACTTGTGAGTATTCGGAGTTCTGTGTGCCCGTGGCAACGAAGCATCGAGCCAGCAGATGCAGAATGGCATGGGAGGGACAGTTGGTGTGAGAATAGCTTCAAGAAGGACAGTGTGAGAAATGACTGACTCATAGCAACAGAGAATCCAGAAGAGATCAGATATGTCCACCTCCATTGCCGTTTATTGCAATAGTCATCTTTAAGATATTTCAGAAGGGGACACGATGGCCCAGAGAGTGGAAGAACATGTCCCACAGTGCACCAGAGGCAAAGCCAGGGCTACAACAGAAACGTGAGACCACCTGTGGCAGACGGCTGGGGCTTACCTATGAAAAAACTGATATAATCTTTCTTCAGTTTGTCCAAACCAATTTCCAAAAGCATCTGAACTGGAATCGTGCCACTGAGAGAAACAGCATCCATGGTCCCATGATAAGACTGGTGAATCAGCTTACTTAGTAAACTGCTACTCCCACTGTGTAGCTGGGGATCAAGAAAATGTCATAAAACAAAAAATTAGAATAAACACAAATCCAATAAGCAAACTATCTTAGCTAACATGATAAAAATTCTAAGTTTGCTCCCGACTGCATCAAGTATTTAAACAAAGCCCCATTGGTGTTGTTGTAGAGTGTCATTCAGTTGCTTGTGACCCAGCGTGACCCCTGCACAGCAGAACCGAACACTGCCCGGGCCTGCCCGTCTTCGCTCTTGTTCCCATGCTTGCACCCATTGTTGCGGCCACGGTTAACAAGCATGTACATGTGTTTTCTTTATTTTTTCTTAAATCATTTTATTGGGGGCTCGTACAACTCTTATCACAATCGGTACATAGATTCATTGTGTCAAGCACCTTTGTAAATTTGTTGCCATCGTTCTCAAAACAGTTTCTGTCTACTTGAGCCCTTGGTATGAGCTCATTTTTCCCCTCCCTTCCTCACAAACCCTTGAAAATTTAAAAATTATTATTTGTTCTTGTCTTACACTGTCCGATGTCTCCCTTCACCCACTTTTCTGTTGTCATCCGTCCCCCAGGGAGGGGGTAATATGTAGATCATTGTGATCGGCTCCCCCTTTCTCCCTCACCTTCATCTTCCCCTCCTGGTATCGCTACTCTCATTAGTGGTCCTGAAGGGTTTATCTGTCTAAGCATGTGCATTTCTAAAAGCCTTTCTTAACCTCATTTAAGCTTAAAGCAATTAAACAAACCACCACTAAAAACCCCCAACTATAGTTACCTTTAGTAGTATATTTATAGAGAGAAACTATGGCCCAAGGAGTGGAAATACTGGTGTCATAGGGACAAATATTTCACTCCCCCAGATGGACTGGTGCCAGCAGTTAAAGACCCCACCACTGGCTGAAAGCCCACTCAGAGGCCCCTCAGAAGACAGGTCCCAAGATTTGGTTCTGGAATTGACAGTCTTGGAGACTCTACAGAACACTCCTACCCTGTACACAGGGGATGGCCGTGAGTTGGAGTGACCATTGTTGGGTGCCATCGAGGGAATCTGGACATACAGCAACCCGGCGTGAAAGAACAGAACTGACCAATAGGGTTTTCTCGGCTCTACCCTTTGCAGAAGTCAGTGACCAGGTTTTGCTCCCTCAGAGCTGCGGGGTGGGTGTGAATGGCCAACCATGGATAGTGGTTAAATACAACCACTCAACTAGACCTCGGACAACAAGATATAATTCCACCAAAGAGAGGCAATGCTGGTCTTTTAAGCATCTATGTTTTATAAACACGAATTGATAGCCACATTATTAAAAATAATGTCTACTAAATGAGGACTTGTTCAGACTCTAGCTTTTCACTTAGTTTTCCACGATTAAAAAAGTAATACAAATTCATGCTGAAAAAATCTATTCAGTACAGAAATCTGAGCATATTTTGTATGAACTGGAGAAGGAAATGGACTGCAGGTCTAATTGCCCCCATGAGCCTCCTTGACCCCGAGACCAGACTCAATGGATGATGCCTTGCTACCAGCGCTGATCAATGTGATCAAGGATCTAATAGATCCTGTTCTAAAGGAGAACGATTGTGGAACAGACTTGTACATCTCCATGAAAACCAGACTGGCCGGATCCAGTGAGACGCAGGGTCTCCTGAATCTACTGCCTGGAAACAACTGTTAAACCTTGCACTGACACTATTATCCCATAAAGTCCTCTTTCAGTGAAACAACACGTGGCTCGGTTCATCAGGAAGGTTTGCCATGAACACTGCACTCTTTTAAAGGCTGATCTACATGGGAGCAAACAGACATCGGTCACCCTAAAGCAGTTAAAAGCTTGCATGGAGAACTTTCAAGGGCAAGAGGATAAATTAATTGTGCTAAGACATGAGTAGAGGCACTGATAATGGTAGCACAAGGTGAAGGATGTAACTACTATCACTGAATTACAATATATAAATTCTGAATGCGTGTATTTGGGGTGGTGGTGAATGTATATTTTCACCAATTTTTTTTCTTTTCATTAAGAAATAATAATTCCTGGGGGGTGGGAATTTTTAATAAAAAAAGTGTCACGAATAAAAGTTGTTTTTGAAAAAAAAAAAAAAAAGAAAGAAAGAATTCCTAACCCTACCATTAGAGCTTATTATTGCTGTTCATGTTTCAGCAAAATTTGTTTCTAGGTTCTTTCTCCACAGTTTATAATTTTTTTTTAAGACAATGACGTATGTGCCTTTTTAAAAAACATTAAAGCATTTCTCCATGTCATTAAAAATTGTCAACATCCACAATGGATGAATGTATGGATTGTGATGAGATAGAAGAGCCCCAATTAAAAAAAAATTGTCAACTTCATTTTAAGAACTATTACATGTGCCATTATGTAGCTGTCTTTAGTGACTTAGCCATTCCATTAGCAGTAGAAACTTGGGTCTTGTCTTCAGAGAGCATTGGAAAGTGGATTACTACAGACACAGTTAGTTTAAATTAACATCAAACCACTTGCTTTCTGTTTTTCACCCTTTTTTATGTTCTAGTTTTTATTATTTCCTGCTTTCTTTTTGATTGAGGTTTTCCTACTTTACTTTGTTGTTGTTTTGGTCTAACTTTTAAAATATGAATTCCAGGATACATAAAATCTACAGCAACAGTAACTAGATTAAAAGTTTTTAGGGTTAAGGCAAGGGATGCTGGGGGGAAATAGGGAGCTAATAATAATAATACGTAGAAAAATGAAGGAAATGCTCGAAAATGGATTGTGGTGATGATTGCACAACTCTTTGAAATACATTTAGACCACTGAATTATATGGTATGCGAGTTATGTCAATAAAACTTTAACAAAAAGGTTTATAGTCTCAGAAACCCTCAACAGAGTCACTCTGAGTTGGAACTGACTTGATGGCAATGAGTTTATCTTAGACTATCCACTGGGTGCTTGAGAGGAATAAATTATTTAATCCTCAAATCAGCATTATGAAGTCCTTATTCTTACTCCTATTTTACAGACAAGGACAGTGGGTACAGAAAAGTAAAGAAATCTAGCGATGTTTACACAGGTAGTATTCAAACTCAAGCAGTCTGCTCCAGAGCCTGTCCTTAACCACTGCACTCTCCTGCTAAGAAAATGTGCTCACAGACGTGCATCAACCTACCCATGGCTGTATGTCACCACGTTGTAGACTCTGGATGATCAACGTAAAACACTTCACCAAGTCTTGATATGAGACTACACCTTGGGAAACAAGGCAGCCTAACATTACTTTCATGGCATTACTGCACGCAGACAGGCCATTCCTCTTACAGCTCGACAAACAAAGCAGATGGTTCAAGTCATTACTTAACATTACTCTTACAGATAGACAAACAAAGCAGAAGGTTTAAGTGTGTGTACTTTAAGAAAGGGGAGAAGAGAGAAATTAAACAAAGCAAGAAGAATGATTAAAAACATTTCCAAAGAAAGATTTCATGTGTTTTCCAACCTTGATTGCCAGAAAAGAACGTAATTAGCATAATATTAAGAAATATCTTTTCCCTTGTCTAACAATGCAAACATCTCTATGATACGTGTTTTGGTTCATATAAGAAGAATGACCTTCTAAGTCTTACATCCAAAAAGGAAAGTAAAAGAATAGGTTCTATAAAGTGTCTCATCTTAGAGCAATTCTTGAGTATAATGTAGCAATATAGAAATGAATTTGATATCACAGGAACCATAATACCACACAAGATTGGTAGTCTAAAGACTTGGAAATTATTTTGCAATCTGACTGGATACCGACTCCTGCTCATTCTGCACCACAGCTGCTCGGCAAAGTCGAGGTCGCCCCGCACCACGAACACCCTCTCAATGGAGCACTCCACCGCCGCCGCCGCGTCACGCCTCACCGTCTGGAAAGGCAAGTTTCCAAGAACACATGATTCACCGAAAGAAATAACAAGAAAAAGGCAACAGAGTTGAAGGGCAACAACAAACTTTTAAACGTTGCTCAGAGAAAAGGTGGACCCAGGAGCACAAAGAGACATGTGAACACATTTTCTAGAACTCCAGTCGCTAAAGAATTAACAGTGAAAAGATGGACTCGGAAAACTGTTTTAAGAATTGATACTCAAACACAAGCCTTCAACTTTCTTTCTGTGTCAAAATACATACCAAGTCACCTCTATGGCCTTTTTTCTATTCATCAAATAAGGATTGAGCTGGCTTAACTTAAGAAGGTAATCTTATGGCATATTAATATATCACCTTATACATGTTAATAAAGTATGGATATAGTAATATCATCTTACAGTACAGTAATATATGCATTTCTGTATCTCTGCTATCAAGCAACTCATAATACACATAGATACTAGTTATCTTAAAGATATGGGTTACTTCATAATAAAAGTACCAATGTTGACATTAAAGACCAATAAAAACGACCCCTAACAAGTTGTCTTGGCTGTGTGAGGGGACTTCAAAAAGTTCATGGAAAAAGTGAATAGGAAAATGATAGTTTTTAAAAATTTTTAATTTTAAAACTTTAAAAAAAATCCCTGATACCAGCCAGATCCATTTGAGGTAATAGGACCTGACAGATGAAATGACCCCAGTTTTATAGCGACTCCTTTAGTTTCCAGTTCTAGCTAATAACAATCACTTACCTCTGTGTCCTTTATCGCAGAATCACAAAATGCGTCCAGTTTATTTAAGTCTACAAAAGTAGCAAACACTTATTAATTTCTCATTTTCCGTCATCCTGTTCACAAATGGCAACTGAGGATAGTAGACGCGTAACTGACTATTTGAAACAGACTGCTTAACGATCTGGTGGCAGTAGAAGTGCTGCCCGTGCAGTGGTGGGAAAGCCCCGCACAGCAGTGCTGAGCATATGTTGTCGCCCCTCTTCAGCTAGGAGCGCTACTACGTTGTTACACAAACCCGCCTGGATTTAAAGTCACTTGGCCTTTGTAACATGCACCCCTTTCTTCTCCTGACACCCTCATAAGTCCTATCACACCCAGTGCCATCGAGTCGATTCCAACTCGCCGCACACTAACCTTAGGTTACCAAGGCTGTAAATCTTCACTGAGGCGCGTGGGGGTGAGCCACCAAACTTACAGTGAGCAGTTCAGTGCGCTCCTTCTAGAGGAAGCAGAGAGTCTAGAAGGGTAAGTTAGGAAAGCAAATACCATTGAGGAACTCCTGCACAAGTTCAACAGCAGACTTCACTTCCTGGGGCTCAGGCCATTCCGACACGCCAGTCCTCAGACCATCAGCCAAGGCCTATTGGGGATTCGAAACACCCAAAATCTTGTTAGCAGAAAACAAAGTGGAATCAAGGAGGATACATTTAGTAGTATTTCTTGTGTGTTTACCACACGCCAGGAACATGTTTACATATGGTGCAGTATGGATGTAGTGTGTTACATAATCCTGGCAAACACCCTCGGAGGCAGAAAGGGTACCATTGTGCCAAGTACCTGAGGCTGACATGCTAGGTCACACACTAGCCACTGAGAGTGACAGGGGAGATGCCCAGCAGCTGACTTGGATGGTTACAGAATGATGAGTCCAGACTCACCCTTAAGATGCTTGTCACTTGGGCCAAGGTCACATGATACAGATGAAATAACTGGGCAAACAACCAATGTTCTACAAACTGACTAAAACATGACGTAAAACAATATGCACACACACACTGTATCTAAATAAAATTACGGAAACGGGAGCAGACGGGACCAAGCAGGGGTGAGTATGTGTGCTGTTTAAGTGAAATAAAATAAAATTAAAAATCATGTCCATTTATAGAGGAGCTTGACCTCAGAGGGGTATTATAACAAAGTGTAGACTTTTGAGTCAGACAGAGAGACAAGAATTTAGATTCCAGCTTGCTTTCAACCACGAGCTATCGTCTCACCCCATTAGAAGAGCTGTAATAAAAAAGACGGACACGATCCGCAGGCAAGAAGCGGGAGGAACTGGCCTCCTCCCACCTGCGGATGCGATGTGGAGTGGGGCAGCCACTTTAAAGACAATCTGGCAGGCCCTCAAAAAACATAGGAACCCGATGATCCGGCAAATCCACTCCTAGGTATATAGCCAAGAAATGTGAAAAATATGCCCACACAAAACCTTGTTCACAGCTGTATTACCCTCAATCCTCAGAGTATGGAAATAACTAGACACTGAACAAGCACAATGAGGCATCTGCCTCCACGCAGTGGAGTACTATGACAAAGTGCTGGAACATGCTGAACACAGATGTGGAAGAAGCCAGTTACCAAAGACCACATAGCGCAGGGTTCTTTCTGTTCATATGAAATGTTCGGATAGGCAAATCCACAGACAAACAATAACAGTACAAGGTACGAGGCCGAGGGGTGGGGCCAGAGAAGTGACTAACAGGTAACTGAGTTTCTTTCTGGATGATGAAATGTCCTAAACTTCATTGTGGTGCCGGCTGTATCACTCTGCAGCGATAGAACCATGAAGCAGTAGACATAGCACAGGTGAATTTATGGGATACGACTTGTATCTCGAGAGAGACATTTAAACGAACAAGAGAAGAAACAGGCGGGGCAGTGGCTGGCTGATAAGTGGCACGTACACCAGGGGAGACGTGGGACTTCTCCATGGGGCATCTTCCTGAGAGTCCACCTGCCGAGTGACCCTAGAATGACCGCAACACGACCTCTTGGAACACAGGCTTTCACCCTTGGTGTGGCTCGGAACCCCGGCCACTCCCAAGCAGAGTCTACGCATGTGCTTGGCAGGCACCGGCAGCTGACCCAACTGGAGAGAGCGGAATCCACGAGAACAAAACCAGTATGGCGGTGGAAAAGCGAGACCACTACCGCTCCCTCCAATCGCAGGACAACCGTGACACTACAAAACCGCTCCAACTGCCAAGAGTAACAAACAAGTACACAACATTTACAGCACATTTGGAAGAAAGCAACACTAAGTACGAGTTCTATGAGCGCGCATTCTTATGAAAACACGCGCTTTGAAGGAAAAGGGGTTCCCCGATGGTACTCACAAGGAGAAACGTCAGCTGTCTGTGAAGATTCTTCAAAGGGCTTCTCGTCTCTCCAGATTCCACTTTAAGATTCTGAAAAGTTCCCACAATGTCAGTTTCCACTGGTAATCCCGTCTTCTACACGTCAGGGTCACAGTGATTTACCTCACATCAAAAACAGTCTCATTAGGGATCGGGCAATACTTCATTAGAACATCTTCCCCAGAGAGATCACAAACCCTGCCCCTTCTGATACCACCCAAACCCATCAAGTCGATTCCTATTCACAGCAACCCTTTAGAGCAGCGGTTCTCAACCTGTGGGTCGCAACCCCTTTGGGGGTCGAATCACCTGTCACAGGGGTTGCCCGTTTCATGACAGTAGCAACGTGACAGTGATGACGTAGCAACCAAAATAACGTTATGGTGGGGGTCACCCCCACATGAGGAACTGTGTGAAAGGGCGGCAGGGTGAGGCAGGTGAGAACCGCTGCTGTAGAGAGTTCCTGCCACCGGAAACAGGAAGCCCCGTCTCTCTCCCGAGAAGGAGCTGCACTGGGAGCACCAGCTCAAGGTCCAAGCAGGCGTGGGGCTTCAGATGACAGAAGCAGCAGAAATAAGTACGTCTCAAGACTCAATAGCAAATTCAGCATGATCATACCACAAATAAAATCCTTCAGATACATCTGACTCCGTCCAATGAAAACAACAGTGTGTTGTGCTAGCCTATGGATCAAATTTTAGAAACCTAAGATCTTTCTTGAAAAGATGAAAAAGAACAAAATGATGATGCATGTGAATTCCTACAATGGGGGAAAACGGCATGAAGAATATAATTATCCACAATCTCACCACCCCAAGGTCCTAACACTGTAGCATGTTTCAACTATAGCTTCTTTCTATACATTTTTCTAAAAGAAAACACAGTTGAGATCCGATTGCACATGCAGTTTTACATTTCCTTTTTTGTTTATAAGACACATTTTCTATTACTACTTAAGACACTTTAAAAGATGATTTTTAAAGAGACTATAAAGTCTATCGAACTATTCTGTAAGAAGAGCTACCTAACCACGGCATTACTATTTTCACTTCTGGTAATTCAGGTCACAGCTCTACCACGGCTTTGAATAGCTTTGCACAACGTCTGTTAGAAATTCTAATGGATGTCTTAAGACTCTGTCCTAGAAATTTAAGTTGGAGGGACTCAAAATATTATAAAGATTCGTGAAGTACTGCCAACACCTACAATCTTTTAATAATAGTGAACCTGTTCATTCACTTTGATGTTCACACCTGAGTCTCCATTCAAAAGACCTTCTGAATCACTAGAAAAGTCTTTTTTCGGTTTGTTCATTTTAAAAAGTTTTATTGACTTATAATTCTCGCACCACACAATTAAATTGTTCAATCATATTAAGAAGAGTTGTGCAATCATCCACCAGAATCCACTTAAGAACATTTTCTTCTCATATTCATTGTTAGCTCCCCATTTCCCTCCGTCTCCTCTGCTGTGCCTTAAGTAATTATTAATCCAGTTACTATCTCTATAGATTTACTTATCCTGATTCCATGTACAAAGTCATATACAAACAAGAGACCAAAAAAATGAACAAATACAATAATGACAAAACAAAACAGAGAAAAACCTCAACGGAAAATAAAGCAGAAAATATTAAAATCTGAAACAACTTTAAAATAGGTCCGAGGGAGATCACATGATGACTGCACGATAACCGCATGCTAACTTACTACGTGGGCTACCATGATCTAGGTCTGACAGCCCAGGCCGCTCACATCCCTGGGCTCCAGCCGGAGGGATTCAGTGGAGGTTTAATCTGTGTGGGTCCTGCAAATGGATTGGGGCATCCACTGTCACCCACAGCCTTCTGCAAGCCGGGTGTTCACAACTTAAGCTCTGGTAGTGCTCCCTCCTTCAGATTTGGATTTTATGATTCACAAACCTTGGATTACACGGGTTGGTGTGTTCCTCTTATGTGAACGTAACTGATGCCTCGCTCAGATGGCCGCTTGTTTCAGACCCCAGACGCTCCTCTTTGTGAACACGGAGCAGCGTCAGGGGTCTTCACTACACTCTCCTCTCCTGCACAATGGCTACAAGCACGGCGAAGACCAGTTAGGACCCAGTGAGGACAAGGACCTGCTCCTACCAGAGTCGCGGTGGAAGAGAGCGGAGGGGTTTCGAGAGTCTCGTCCACAGGACCCCAGGCCATGTCCAAGGTGATGGTCGTGGGCGGCGGCGGCGATGCGGAGGCCGTGTCGTCCAAGGCGGTGGACCTGAAGAGCTCATACTGCGCAAAGCCCCTGGTCGCCGCCTGAAAGAGTGCCCCGGCAGCTGTGCAGCGACCTTCCCCGGGCCCCCATGGCTTTGTTTGTGTCACAAGGGAAGGCAAAGCACCACACGTGCATGGAAAAACAACTTTTTTTTTTAACCACAGAGCTTATCTAAAAGGCAAACTCTTAATTTTAGTCATAACCTGGTATAAACATTGGATACTATAGACAAGTATCCTCACATAAGGGTCAGCGAGGGTGCGATGTAGCAACGATGAAAAATACAACTTTCCTCTAGTTCCTAAATGCTTCCTTCTCCCCCACTATCATGATCCCAGTTCTGCCTTGCAAGTCTGGCTAGACCAGAGGATGGACACTGGTACAGATAGGAACTGGAAACACAGGGAATCCAGGGTGGATGATCCCTTCAGGACCAGTGGTGTGAGTGATGATACTGGGAGAGTGGAGGGAGAGTGGGTTGGAAAGGGGGAACTGACTACAAGGATCTACATGTGACCTCCTCCCTGGGGGACAGACAACAGAAAAGTGGGTGAAGGGAGACATCAGACAGGGAAAGATATGACAAAATAATAATTTTTAAATTATCAAGGGTTCATGAGGGAGGGGGGAGCGAGGAGGGACGGGAAAATGAGGTGCTGATGCCAGGGCCTGAGGTGGAGAGCAAATGTTTTGAGAATGATGAGGGCAATGAATGTACAAATGTGCTTTACACAATTGATGTATGTATGGATTGTGATGAGTTGTATGAGCGCCTAATAAAATGATTTTTTAAAAAAAGAAAGAAAGAAAAGTATCTACTTACATTAGGAGTGAAAAAAACCCTCAAACCTGAAAGACAGTAAGAGTTTGGGGGAGGGGGGTCCCTGGGGGGATGCGTACAAGAAAAGTACTTACAGTAGACGAATGATGTCTTTTCTTGTGGGAATTTTTAAGGTCTTCAAGATGTACAGAACAATGCTTCTCAGCTTTGTGACAAGAAAGAAAGAGGATTTAAGGCATGGTTCAACCGGACTGTTAGGGAGACCAGAAAGTTGCGAAGCCCCAAATGTAGAGGGTATTATAATGTATCATTACTGATTGTCAAATTAAGTTTTAAATGATAGATTAACAAACTTTATAAAGGAATGAGAGCAGAAAACGGGTCAACAGTACAACTGAAAATATCATTAAATGTCCATGACACATCAGTTTTTTCCTCCAATGAGAATTAAAAATAAAAACAACCGAACCACATACAATCAAATAAAACCCAAATCAAACAGTCAACAGTGCCCTCGCCGCTCCCTGGAGGGCCATTTCCGGTGTTGGGGGAAAGCCTCCTCCAGGCCGCAGGCTACACACCAGGGTAGATTCACAGCGGTCCAAGCAAGCTCGACTGTGTCCACTTACTTTCTAGTAGTGTTGATGTTCAGTACAAGCCACGCAACTGTAACTATAGCAATGCACAAAAGAGGAAGCTCTCACCTTGACAACTGACTACGTGTAAGACAATGCCTGCGATGCTGCCGTTTGCTGTGATGAGCTCCGCTCCGAGCCAGCACGTACCTTCAGGGTCTGAACTGTCGCATCTTATCCAAAGGGGGGCAAGGGCAGTCACCGGCCGAGTTATCTTCAAATGGCTCATATTAGGGTTGTGAGCCAAGGTGTAAAGTCCAATTAACTGCCTTGAAAATACGAGGGCAAAGAATCCATTAAGGACAGAGACTGCTGTTAGGAACCACAGTCAGTCGAGAGCGTTCGTGAAAATCCAAACCAAAGCCACTGCCAGGGAGTCGGTTCTGACTCAGTGACCCCCAGACCCTTTGGGTTTCTGAGACGTGAAGTCTTAGAGGGGACAGACAGACAGACCATCTTTCTACCTGGGAGCAGCTGGTGGGTTCAAACCACTCAGCTTGTACAGCAGCTGTGTCACCGGGTTCCTTTCAAGCATGCAGCCACCCCATACAGAATATGGCAGATTATAGAGTTAGTGGCCAGCACATAGCACCCCCCACCCCCGGCAGCTTAGAGATACCATCAAAGGTCACAGAAATCGGAGAATTAAGTGGCAAGAGGTGAAAGGCACAGCAAGCAAATCACGATGCACACCAGAAGTGACAGGCTCAGAGCAGAGGAGAGCGGGGCAAGGAGGGAGCAAGAGGAAAGGAAAGAGAAAGAGATCCAGATTAGATGCATATTATTGGCAACAGTTCTAAGAGCGGGTGGCAATTTTACTTACCACCCGAAACCCATGCTAAGGAAAAACGTACCGTGCTCTCCCAACTGGTAAAGCAAGTGCCCCCACACTTTCACTGGCAGAGAAATCAGAAATGGCAGTCTCTTCGGGCTGAATTTCTTCCATATAACCGGTTTCTTCTTTTTCTAAAGGCTTTGAAAATGTTTTGGAAAGATGTAACCAGAAAAAGGAACATTCAGATAGAAGGCAACTCTTTGTTCTACTAGGAGATAACAAAAAATACACAGTGTACACATTCCATGCCCTTAAGCACACATAAGACGAGTTGCATTAGCTAAGTCTGTTGCCCAAGACTTCCTTAGAGTTCTGAAAAGCAAGGATGTTACTTTGAGGACTCAAGGGTGCCTGACCCAAGCCATGGTATTTCGGTCACCTCATAGGCATGTGAGAGTCGGACACGGATGAGGAAGACCAAAGACAAATCAATGTACTTGGACTGTGGGGCTGGGGAAGAGTATGAAAACGCCATGGACTGCAAGAAGGACAAGCCAATTTGTCTGGGAAGAAGCATGGCCAGAGAGCTGTGAAGAGGCAGGGATGGCAAGACTTCATGTTACAACCTTTGGACGTGTTGTCAGGAGAGAGCAGTCCCGCAGAAGGACATCAAGTCTGGCAAAAGAAAGGTCAGCAAAAAAGAGGAGCCTGCGAGGAGCTGGACTGACAAACTGGCTGCCCCAATGGCTCACACATCGCAGACGTGAGGAGCGAGCAGCCTGCCCAAGTTCACAGAGCCAACTGGAAAGCACCTAACAGCCACGCTCGCTCGAAGAAGAGCTGCCACGACTTGGCTGATACTACGACTCCCTTCCTCTTATTTCAAGCTTCCACGTTCCCATGGCCTATTAGTGGATTCATTATGATTACCAGTTCATCTTGATTGCACATTTGATCAATTTCAGACTGAAGAAATGAGAATTCTTCCATTTCTTCATCACTAGTTTTAGTGGTTGGTGGGTAAATTTGAATACTAATTGTATTGACAGGACTTCTTTGCAGACACATAGATTTTATTCTATCACAGAGAAAGCATCGTGCTCAAGGTAGATTTTGAAATGTTCTTTTTGACAAGGAATGGGATGTCATGCCTCTAATATGTGATTCTCAGCATAGTAAAACACATTCAAAACAGGCACTACAAGTCCATTTCAGCTCAGCAATGCCTCGCATACCGGTCTTTATGCATCCTATGTAGTTTCTATGATGTCCAGTTGTCCTATACTCATCCTCTGTTCATTCTCTATTCTGATTGTTAATGGATGTTGACTATGGTTTTTTCTCATGTTCAGTCATGTCCATCAGCAACTGAAGGCCCTGAGAGTTGTCCTCCACCCATGTCAGTATGGCTCTACTTTGGGTAGTCACTCTGCCCTCGGTCTTATTTTGAGTACCTTCCAGTCTGAAGGGCACATCTGCTGGGACTCCATCTGACACTATTTCACTCTGTTCATCAGGTGTTAAGCCCTCAGCAGTGGACTGCTACTATGTTCCTTCTTCAAGTCGGCTGAAACCTGCTCACCTTGGGTAAACTTGCTGGTGTTTAAAGCACTGATGCCTTAGCTTCCAGGATCACAGCAGCACGTAAGTCAGGACAGTATGACAAAGTGAGACAAGTGGTGGTTGGGAGGGTGGGGACAAATTCTAGATTTCGCCCTTTTTGATATAGTTCTTAGATCTAGGATTACTCAAAATTACACACACACACACACACACACATCCCCTATTACCCTTTTTAATACCCCACCTACCTAGAACCCTTTAAACTTTATGGATATTTGTAAAAATTAAGGGCATTTTAATTGTCCCCATTCTAAATGTCCCAGGTCTCAGTGTGTTCCAGATGGCCCCACATCTCCCAGCTACAGTCTCCCTGGAACCCTAACTCAGGTTTCCACAGCCTCTCATCTCTACTTTTTTCTAGGTAGCTTGTCTTCATCTGATTGGTCTTTCCAGCTTTTGCTCTATAAATATTCCCCCTCTCTGCATAACAAAAATCTGAATTCAATCACAAATTCAAATTCAATTTGCCAATCATCTGTCCACCACTTATCAACAGGAATAACACTCCTTCATTAACATCAAAGGAAAGCGTAGCTCCTCTCCTCAAAATAAGTGTTCATGCAAGTATGTGTGTCTTCATTTAAAATAAAGAGTAACTACTGAAGACTAAGAGGGTGGTCTTTCCCACGGGCAGAGGGTTAGAAAAGAAGAAAGGACAAGCGATTGGACATGATGGGGCTAGAATAGACGACTTGAAACAAAATGTGCATAATTGTTGAATGCAGAACTAATGATCGGCTCTGTAAACCTTTGCCTAATTCACAAGAGTCCACAATAAATAAATAAAAAGGTGAGATGCCTGCTCATGTGCCCCACTGCTCATACAG